ATTGTTTATATATATATATATATATATAGATATATATATATATATATATATATATATATCAAAATGAAGATAAAACAAAGAAAAATTATAGACATATGAAAAAAGGGGGGGAATAATAAGTAAAAAGTAACAAACAACAGTTTAAAAAAAAAGAAAAAAAAGGATGAAGTTTTATTTAAAAAAACCGGAAAAAAAAGATATAATCTTTTCATCAGCCCACATGATTATATCCGCTAAACAGTATATATATATGCAAATGATAAGTTTAATTAGTTTATAAGCATAATAAAGTAACGTTATATTTTGCAATACTTGCAATTTTTATTGTCACTTTATCATTTTTTAATTTAACTGAAAATATTTCGCTTAAAATTGATTTTTTTTTGTGTAATGATTTTTAGTCTGATTAAATTTCTTCATAGATTTTTTCTTTCATAGCTTAAAAACATTACATACTAAGTTTGAAACATCATACTAAATTATATAAAAGTTTGTATACTTTATAATTTGAATATTTGTCGATTATTATTAAATTCAGTATAAAAAATGAATTATAATTGTGGGTGAAAATACTATTCCCTGCTTAGCCTTGTCTTCGGATAAATGATGAAAAGAGAGAGAGAGAGAAATGGATCGATAGTTAGATTATCCTAAAATTAGCTTTTGAAATAAGGATAATTTACAAACTGTTGATGCTGATTGATTTAATATCAAAAAATACTCTCTAAGTATATTGCTTTATTGGGAAAAGGACATTTTCAAGTTGATTAGATTAAAATTAGGCGTTTATGGATTCAAATATTAGAATATTATATTTAAATATGGAAAATCATATTAATACACTTTTTTGATAATTTATTTATAAAAGCTAACGTCATCCAAAAACTAAGAATTAATAATAAATTAACTGAGTTTACCTGATTTCAAAGAAACTTTCACGAAGCATATTATGAAAAGATCTCTTCTGCAATGCAATAAAGATAATATTAATTCTTCTGCGTTTGTTTTGCAGTCATAGTTCCTTACCATAAATTTTAATTTGAAATATTAGTGTGAGAGCAACAGGTTTTTTTTTCTGTTTAAATATATCAAATACTATTTACTTGTGAAAATTACTAACTTTAATTTATTACTGTTATCAAAATTCACTTTGCTGTAATATTGCTCAATTTGCTGTAACATTGTAAAAAATTTAAATCACGTAACTTTTCTTAAAATATTTTTTTATGTTAGCAAACAGTTTTTCTACATAACATAAAAACGCAATGGTATAGCACAGTTTTCCATTGCTATCGATGCATTTTTATTGGTAGGAAAATCCGGTATTCCCACATAAATTTTTTTTTTTTTGGTGTCATCAGCAAAAAAATTTATTAAAATAGTATTGATAATGGGAGACCAGCGTATTTCAATCCTGATTGGTTGTTGAAATGTGGCATATGTTTACATTAGCAACTGTTCTTTCCATTCTATTTCGAGTAAGCCAAGCCCGACAAAGTACCAATTCGCTAAAGTAACACAGCCTATCTTCTTTCACAAGGATTATTTGAAATTTTTTTTTAAATATTTCACTATATATTTACACAAAGACTTAACACAAATACAATAACACGATGTTTCCTGTAGCATACCAAACCATTCCAATTTAATTACTTGTATAGGTGTATACTTATTTTGTATTCTGATCACAGCACTTTGTTGCTGCATGTCACAGATTGTTTTGAGAATAGTGTTTTACAGATTTTTTGAGCAGCACCAACTGATGATGAGCTTTAAAACTAGTTTTGAAATTTTTGGAAAATCGTTTATCGTCCACTTTTTTCTTAAATATAATGCAGCAAACTGTAAATATTTGAAATTTCGGCACTTTCTTTTTTTTTTTCACTATTATTATTATAGATTTTTCAAATAATTAGTTGCTTTTTGGGTAACCCGATATTTTTTCATGTAATGTGCAAAAATATCGCAATAAAGTATTAAAATAATATTGTAATAATGCAATAAAATAATATTGTAATAAAGTAATAAAATAATATCGTATAATGTTTTCACTTATTCACAATTTTACATATTCGCAAGTGATACAAAAATTTCTTTCATAAAGATAGTTATTCATATATTCATTATAGTTATTCCTAAAAAAAAAATTTCTTTTTTTTAAATTTTCAGTTATAAAATAAACCATAATTTCTAAACGTTTTGTGTGACACACAACTATCCACAATCAAAAGACAGAAAGAGAAAACATACCTTATCAATTAGAAAGTAATCATCGCCATTTCTATACAAAATTCCAAGCCAACTATTAAATAAATGAACAAAATTACTTTATTTAAAAAACTAATAATTTAAATTAACTTCTGCACCGCGTCCCAGCAAATTATAAGGAAAATATGAAAATATAAATATAGAAAATTTCCTTTTACAATTCGCTTTGATAATTTTATTTTAATAAATATTATGCTTATACATGACTCAAATTATTAGTATAACTATTATTTAAAATTAATTTTCAGAAATAAATATAAAAATAGTAATTGTAATTGTAAAACTGTCTCAAAACAACAGTATTTATTTAAAAATAAATGTTTTTAAAATAAAAAACTAGTTTAAATTTAAAAAAAAGAAAGAAAAAAGAAACAGTAAACTTATTTAATTAAAGGTTTACAAGCAAGTAAAATATCTGAGTATCCGAGCTTTAAACTTTTGCGTAAGTTTATGCATTATTTAACTTTTGCTAGAAGCAAAATTATGCAATAACAACAAATAAATAAATACATTACAAATTTCTTCTTAATTTGCTAAAAACTTTTTTAAAAAATCCTTTTCTGTAACCATCTCAAACACTTGCCCTATTTTGCCTTCCTTGTGTTCTCGATATGCGATTTCTTTCAACAGGAAGAAAATAACAAGAATTGTCTAAAATAAAAAATAAATAAAAAAATTTTTCACATCACTTAAATAAAAGGAAGAAAGAAGAAGAATTATACAAACGACACATTTAAAGCAATCTCAGCAATCAGCAATCTCTCTCTCTTTTTTTTTTCTTTCTTTTTTTGATTTTGAAATTAACTACGAGGGTTGTTTTTTAAGTAAGAGCTGTTTGAAAATACCAAACGAAAGAAAATTTTCATGAAGCAAATGTATTTTCTGATTCTACATACGTTTCTCATTTTTTCAAAATAGTTGCCGAATTTGCTTAAACACTTATCATATCTTACAACTAGATTTAGAATACCTTCCTCATTGTAAATCACCGCTGCTATAATAACCAAGAGGTCACGACCATTTTCACGTCTTCGTCATCGTTGAACTAGTTGCAGCTAAAATGATGTTTGAAACATCGGAAAAGATGAGAATCACTTAGCGCAAGGTCTGGACTGTATTGAGGGGTGGTCCAAAACTTCCCAGTCGAAAGAGTCCAATGAAGCTCGGGACTGAGCTGTGGAGAGAGTCATTGTCATAGAGTAGCAAAATTTTCCGTCTAGCATGCCAGTAGAGAGCTTTGTAAACTTCACAAATCTGCTGGTGAATGTATGCAGCAGACAGGTTTTTTGCCGACGCGGGTGATACGCGGAGGGTGATTTGTTAAACTTGAGCATTTTAAACACGCAGAACTGACCATACTGGTTACCTACACAGCTGTAACTGAGCACAGTTGTTCCCAAGGAATGCCAGGACACGGCACATGCACTCGCACCTATTAGTGTACACAACAAAACGGTCCTTACTGAAAAACAGCTCTCGTAGTTATTTTTATTACGTGCTAAATTTCCATCATATAGCGTAGTTATAGTTTGTCTACATTAAGAACTCCCCCCACCACAAAGTCTGAGGTCGTTTGCTGCTATGGAAACAAGAATAGCGCATTTCAAGGAGGGTAGCTTCTCTTCACTCTAGGGCTAACACTGTAGACCGAAGAAAAAGATTCCCTTTCTCTCGCTGATTTGAGCCGAAGGCTGTCCTAAAAAATTACCTACTTAAAATAGTTATACCTCGTTACCATAGTCACCGCACAGGTCCAGACGAATGGCTAGGGGAGTTATTACTTTAGACAAACTATAGATGTTTTCGAAATCATCTTCAAAGATATCCGAAAGAGAAAAATGGCGGAGTTGTTAACAACATTTGGTGAAGTTACACTCAGATCTCGCTTTCTTACTCTTCTGCATCAAAATAATGCTAACTGCACTTTTAATATTTATAATTTAGAGGTTAACAGGATATCTTGTCAATAACTCCACTCGAAGTCTCTGAGAGAATTTTTTTTTTTTTTAAGGAAAATCTTAGCTATTAGCATGTCGAAGATTGTTACCTGAACGCCATACTTTTTTAACTACGTTAAACACAGGGACTCTAACCAGTGCTTCTAGCATCTCAAATATTATGGTCTATTTAGTAGATTTAGCAATCTGAACACTAATATTTTACACAGCACAGTTAAATCTTGGTGAGAGAAAGTTTCAAGTGATATTTCGATTAATTTAAGTATATAAGCTTTAAAGTTTATGCGTCTCTCTTTCTATTTTTTCTTATTATTTTGGTAACTTAATTGAAATTTTGAGCTTTTGAAATATTTGTGGAAATAACGCACATAATGTTCGCCAAAATGAAAAGTGGACACTTGTTATTTCGTCTGAAATACGGCAACCACGCTATTCAAGGTTTTAAAGGTGGATTGGAGAATAGCACCTGAAAAAAACTGATTCATCAATTAACATGAAAGCATTTAAATTGAGAGTTAATTCGCGTTGATGATTACGTTAAAGGAGAAAAACGTATAGATGTATTAATAGTGCAGTGTACAGATTTCCGGATTTCTTTTTACTCAGAGTTCTAGACAGACTTCACTAGTATTAGAATTAACTTCAATTCCATCTAATCCTTTCATCAAACGCAGCAATCGAATCATTGGATAATCCAATGTCCTTGCCCTGATTTTGACAGATCTGATAATTCATTATACATTGAGGGTGAAAATTGCTTGTTCAGATATTTTCTATCATTTCTTAAATTTTTGCTCATGAGATCGAAACACACGTTGCAAATTCTAATCGTACTTAAAAATTTAAAGCATGGCTAATGCGAATTATAAAAAGCTTAATTCAACTTCAGCAGTGAAAGGTGCTTTGTTTGATTCAAAAATTTTCTAACCGCAGTACAACTACTAATATTATTACCAAAAATCTGGCACTATGTATAATTTTTTTTTCTTGCACGAAAACATTTGTACTAATATTATTTTAATTCGTGGTTGATGATACATAAACATTGTGATAACCAAGGAATAATATGCATAAAGAAAGCAGCATATTTTCATTTCTACGTAATTGTTTTCAATACTTTTACTTTGGTACGAGTAAGTGGTACTACCAACTTAAAAAAAAGACTCACGAAACTAAAATCGAAAGGAATAATAAGGAGGGGGGAGAAATGCATGTATGCATAACTACACGAGCTTTTTTTCCTTTTTCCTTTCAGATTTTATCTAAACTCGCCATACTCGTTATTCAACAAATTTTTCGCATTTGCTGAAAAAAGTATTATTGAATAAGGAAACGAACTGCCATTTTATAAGTAAATTTAAAATACAGTAGTACCCAAATTTTATGAAAAACTCGGTGACCCATCAACCTTTTCGACTAGCAACCAAAATCGCAGAAACTAATAGTGATTAGTTTTAAAGCTTTTTTTTTTCCTTCAAAATTTGACATTATTGGCGATAATCCATGAGTGATTCGCGATTAGTAAAAGGCATAAATGCGATTGGTATAATAACGTAAATTGTAAATCACGAGTATGCGCTGAATAAGATTGGAAGGAACATACGAATCGTGATGTAGCCAACAATTTAATCACGCATTTGAAGAGCTAGTGAAGGACGGCTTTAAGTGACATTTTTGAAGAAAAAAATTAGAATTCTCGAGAATAGTTAATTTTATTCAACAGCATTCCTTTATTCGCGTTCAATTAGAACATTCATTTTCATCGAGAATTGAAACTTTGCAGACCTTTGTGGTGTACTATAAGCGATGATCTTGAGGTGGTTTTGGATTTTAAAAAAAGTTTGGAATTTCTTTTCAACTCAATAAGTATGACCTAAATACGACTAGTTACTAGTTCTTTACGAGCTGCATATCACCGTGGTAAATATAAAGTACTACTTAAGTTCTATACTAGAGAGATCAAATGATCATTTGAGATGATGGGGACAGTTTAAATGAGTTCCCTCATTTGAAACTAACCAGCAAGAAATAAACACAGAATACTTTATTTGCTATTGCCAATGAATTAATTTAAAAGCTAACTTACTCAAATATCACTTAAAACCTTTATCCACTTTATTTTTTTTAAAATATCCGTTGTTGAACAGCCGATCTAATTTTGGGTTTACGACTACCAATGTTAAAACTCCGTAGCCTTGTAATTTTGAACCAATCCAGAAGACAAGGAAACTCCTGAATCAGTACCCCCAGAGGTATTGATTTGTTATGGGAACATGGAGGACTTTGTGACTTGACAGAGTTAACGTGCATCAGTCACCATTTACTACACGGGGGTCTTCGGCCGGCTGGGATCGAACTCACGAACTCTTGGACATGGGCCCAGTGCCCTAGCAACCAGATTATCCCAGCCTCTTATCCACTCTCTTACTCAATTCATATGTGACTCTTTACAATGTAGCATCGTATTTTTCTTTTTCAAAAGAATTTTTAAGTCACGTTTTTGCGTGATCCGCCTAACAGACATGCAATGCAAGGAAAGGCAACTACATTAATTAACCTAAAGTTCGTATTAATATCTAATTAAGTACTTTAGCCTTTCTAACGATTTTAATTCTGGTTAAGTGGTGCCATAAAAAAATTAGTCTAAAATGCTTTCATAAATTTTAGATCTTACCAAAAAGCAAATAAAATTGATCATGAAGTTTTCTGGTAATCCATGAAATCCTAGTCCTTGAGTAATATAAGATATATTATGATATCTCAGAGGTCTACAGCTATTGAAGGTATTATTAAGGTAATAATCATCCTTCTGTATTCCAAGAAAATCATTGATTGTCATTTTATAATATAGATGAAGCTTAAAATAAAGTCTGAAATAAATACTGTCACATTTCGCAATCGTCCTAAGATAAAGGCTTTTTTTTTACAAGACCTTTCAATCGATTTTTTAAGAACAGTTATTTTAAATTTAATTTGTTTACCTTTTTTTGTTTGCGTATCATGCTTAAGGTAGCTTAAGGAAAAAAGATTTTGTAAGTTGAAAACTGGCAAGAGCATTACTCATTTTAATAGAGATAATTACTTCTGATTTAAGAGTTAAGCAATAATAGAGAAGTTTAAAATCGAAATTATGTATGTCTGCGGCAATTATAAAATTTGTTTTTAGATGTTAATAGAAAAGCACTATTTAACATATGTCTTAGTAAAATTCTACACTGTCTAAAATCTTGTTTCCTACACATTTTGCATATTGAACGTATTTGAAATTCGGTGCGCATCTGGCGACAGCTTATTTTACGGAAATCCGATTTCCTTGAAATGATGCAAGTTTGTCTTATAGTATATTTAGTTTTCTTCATTTTGTCAAACAGGTGTTCTGTAATCTACACACTTAACATATATTTTAATAATCGATGTCAAAAACTGATTACAACTGCCGTCAAATCACTGTAAGTGTAAGACCGAAATAAAAAAAAAAACTAATTTGATTGTCTAGCGAAAATGTTAGAAATTTCTAATAATTACATTTCAGTGACTCTTTCCTTCATCAGATATTTCCTGTCACGCCTTCCTCAGTAATGATTTTTAAAAGTTTGTAATTGTTTTTATGTTTCTAATCTAAAATATTTTATAATGCATTTTTTATTTTATTTTTAACACTTTTTTAAAAAATATATGTTAAAAGTGGTAATTAAGAATTACCTTGTATTTATTAGATTCTGCTGTTATACTTTTACTTCAATCATTAAAAAATATCAATATGACATAAAATTCAACCTTTTATAAGGCCGTGGTAAGTACACGTACAACAAACTTCATTAACTTTAAAATGTTAATGAAAAGTTATTCTCCCACCAATAATTTGTACTGCCACCTGCTGGAAACTTCATAAAATAGAAGAAAAAAGGAAGGTATCTATGTATAGAAAAGCGTATGTGGGTAACAGTAAAGATTAGCGAGGAATCAAGAAAGCTATTATTGGGGAGCTACCTTCCCTTGCTTGCTTTGCGTCCGTTTATCTGATCATTTCTAATCAAGTTCACTTGTAATTATTAACTCATAAATCCGAATGTTTATAAGCAGAAGAGTTAAAATTTATAGCAATTTCTTGCAGTAGACGAAATTTCGAAAATCTGATCCAACTTCTCACCAAAAAAATAGTCTTAAAAATCTTATTCCAAATTATGATAATCTAAATAATTCATTTTTTTTAATCAATCTCAATCAAAAATCTTTTAACATAGCATTTCTAAAAAAAATGGACCAATAAAGGATTAAAAGACTATACTTTTCTGTTAAGCTAGTTTGTCGCTAATAATTGGTGTTTCACAAAAATTACTTTAAATAAAATTAAGATTTGCAGAATTTCTGACCCAAAAAAAAGGTACTCTAAACATGAACATGTGTCAAGGTCAAGCTATTTTGATAGACTGAGTTAAAAATACAAGCTGCTCTAAACTTAAAATGATATTCGCCATGCCAAAGACTAACTCGAGAACGAATTGGAAGTACTTTCCTTATATTCTAGATTTCCTGCTCCACACAGAATTTGATTAGTGTCCTGCAGAAATGTTCATTGTTCGTAAACCAGAAACAATTTAATGTACTCACATCTAGTAAAGCGAATAAACAGGTAATCTCAAATTGTTAAATATATTTTACTGTAATTGATTTAAAGCAATTTTATACACAAGACAAGGTACAAGCAAATAATTTAAGACAATATATATCTACATATACAATACTTAAAACAAGGAGCCAGCCATAAAGCTACGCTCAGCTACATAAAAACTAATTCCTTAGCAACTTTCTGACCAAACACATGGTACAAATATAATCTTCCAGAAATTCTTAATGCTATCCAATATAATGCATCAAAACATTTAAAACAGTAACATCGTATTTCATGAGTCAACTGCATTGCTGGCCATGGTGATCAGCACGTTGTTTTTTCATCTTTCAAACCTATTGAGAAAATTGTCAGATTTCTTAAAGTCTTAGCATGGCGGCACAAATAAGTTCCTTCCCATATCAAACTTTCCTTCTATTTTTAAAAGTGTAGAATAGCTACTTCGTTTTTAGAATGGCACTATCACGCCAAATTGGTCAAAGGCGATCTGTTTATGTCAGATGGGACAACATCAAAGTATGAAGGTGGTTGCTGTTCCGAAGACAAGGCGAAATCCATATACTCTGGAGGTTTTGGTGAAAATAGTGGACTGGGATATCCTGGCGTTATGTTTGGAGAGTACATGGGATGCGCCAGACGGCTGTTACTTAAACGAGGTGAGTACCCGGGTCGAGGTGAATGAGGGAAAGGTGACTGCGGCATTGACACTAGAACAGAATAAAAAATATCAATAGAAGTTTTCAAAAAATTTAAAAAATCTCTAAGTTTAGACGTTGAAAAATTTTAATTATTTTTTTAAAATTATATTTAAATTTTAAATTATTTTTTTAATGCATTAATCCCTTTTAGACTGGCAGATTAAGAGATAAAAACTGCCCCTGACTCGTAAACTCCAAGTTTATGCGTAGCAATTGGTATTGAGATCACGTATGTGTGATCCAGAGCCTCTAAAGTCGACTTAAAGACAATTTAACTTGAATTGCAAGTGTTTTCGAGCTTTTTTGCCTGAAGATCACATTGATGTCTCCAAAATTCCAAGAAGCAAGCAGATGCGTCATTTCAAAAATTCTCTTACTAGCTTTAGAAATTTAAGGGGGCGAAAATATTTTTCAGTTTTGAGACTTTTTCTGAGGCCTTTTGATCCGATTACCTAAATCGGCATTGAGTATTTCATTCCTTTGTCTAGTAGCCATATCAAATCAACAAGCTATAGTTTTGAGTATGAGATAAACTTTTGTATCGGAACTAATAGAATACGTAGAATATTGTAAGTTTTTAGCACAAACATATCATTAACTAAATTTAAAAAGTTCATTTTCATTACGTAGAATCAGTCACTGCGTTTTCTGATTATTAAGAATAAAATTATGATTATTATGATTCTGATTATTCAAAATAAACTGAAGTGGTCCAAATTAGTAGAATGTCCGATTTTCAAAAATCATTTGAAACAATTCGATAGTAAATAATAATTTGCAAGATAAAGGTGTATCAATTGCTATTTAAAGTATGTCTAGTGTTTATCAATTTAAAACCTGTTCTGTGTTGTTTAAGTATTTCAAATTGTGATTTTCTATTTAACGAATTTTCCATATAAGAAACTTTTTATCGAGATTTAGCGACTTCGTTAAATAGCGGTCCGACTGTGTACATGCATACATATAGTATGAGTAGTAATTGTTACTAATTAGAGCTTTGTAGTATTGGTAGTAATAGCATAATAATCATTTTACTATAATTAATACGCAAAAGCAAGTTCAAACTTTAAATTCAAGAAGAGTTAAGTTTTGAATTTTATTAATTAATTTAAAGTTTGAATTATGATACTCACACTCAATTTTGTATTGTTATATTTCCAAAGAGTCCCATAAAAGTTTTAGTTCTCTTTTTTGAATAAAAAAGTTGAAGGTAAAAAAATTCGGAAACAGTTCCTTTAAGAGTTTTTCATTAAACATTAATATCAAAATTGCATTAAAATAAGGTGCATAAATGAGATAACATTTCAATAGTGCTTTTGCACAATATATTAAAGTATATTATAATTACCGTCCAGCATTTGAAGGTTCGGAGAATTACGAGGAGACTGCCCTGTTTTCAAAGAATCTCTAATGTGAAAGTAAAGATGTATAGCACTATAAATCATCAAAGCCTGGAATTAAAATAAGTAGCACTTGCTCAATAACTTGTAAACAATAAAATCATTAAAACATCCTTTCAAATCTATTCTACAATAGCTCTATCTTCTCATGAAATATAGTTTTGTAATAAATATGCTATTTTTTTATAACTGTTACATGCCTGCCAACTTTTACGCATTTGGCGTAAAATTTTATTTCTATATTTAAAGTGGAAGTAAAATGTATGCTTTCTATATATTCCTTGTTTAATTGATAATCTTTTTGACCACCACTATTTCTGAAAAAAAAAATAAGCATATATATATAAATATGTAATACTGATAATGTAGTCTGCATAACCTCTTTCATAATACAGCCAATGTTTTTGCCAAAAATTGTAATTTGAATTCCATTTTGCCACCACTGGGGAAAATCATCCTTGAAAGGATTAAATGTTGGCAGGTATGTTGTTATAAGTTTATAACAGTCATCCTAATTGGCTGAGGATTTATTTCTCCTTAACTAGTGCCTCAATGCTTTTTACGAAAATGCCAAAAAATGTAAACACAAAAAAAATGGAAAATTCCAATTTTGTGAAAATGAAAAGCACTTTTCATAAATATTTGAAAAGTTACTCCAACGATGCAATATTTAGATATTTATGCAATAGTTGAAAATATTCATCCATTTGAATGATTTTTACCTAAGTTAGAAAAAAAAACTTTTTTAGCTTAATTTTTTTAAATATTTGAATTTTACAGTCTTGAAATCTAAATTTTTTGACAAAGAATTTTCGTTAGTATAAAATCAAAGCTTCGTTTCGAGTTGACATCAAAGTGTTTTGTTTTTCTTAGCGATAAGCCATAAAAAAATAACCATTAAAGGGCATTCCAATTACTTGCAGTGCTATCAATTTTTAAGCGTTTTTATGCCATTCGAATTAATTTATATAAATAAATTTCACAAGTTTTACCTGAATTAATTTCTTCCATGTCAGCTATAGTGTCAAAGTGTTGCAATTCTAAATTTTTTATATATTTTAAGCGAAACCATTCTTTTAAACTGCGCTGATAGTTGCAATTTTCATTATATTTTGCCAAAATGCTTGGTAGTTTTATATCATTAATACTTTTTACATTTTCGTTTCACAGCTGTGCTCCGTACAAACACTACCTCTTTTCAGTTTATTCAGTACAAAAGGCAAAGAATTAAAAAAAATTAAAATTGTAAAAATTATATGAGCTGAGTACTGAGCTATTTGGTGTCTAACTCCTTCATAAAATAATTGCATTACTGTGGTAATGCTTCATATATTATGAACAAACTAGATAAAAGTTTTATTTAAATTCATTATTTTAATAACAATCGCAATATTAATACCAGTAAAAAACTTTAGTAATTGAATGAAAGGCCTTGATTGATTTTAATAGAAAAAGGTTGGTTGCAGCACAACAGTTAATACATTCTCTGAAAGCAGTGCCAGCTGTGATGTCACACCGAATTCTTAAAATCGAAACTGTTGATAAAGATATGAAGAATTCAGTCAGGCATTTCAAAGAACGTAAACTTTTATTTTTGTCATAGCATCCACAATGAACATCCCTATTATTTGAATTTCGACGAATCGGAGAAACATCTAACGGTTAGAGGACGCTATACCGCAGGAAAAATTTTGGTGGCAAATTCTATTCCCCCTCTACTGGTATTTAAAAATTTAAAGTATAGAAAAAATGAGTTCAAGTAACCCTAGAGTAAACCATGTTTCAAATGCTGATTTTTTTTAAAAATATCAAATTGCAAAAAAATTATTGCAGGATAATTTCCTCAATGCGTTATTCTACGTAATTTCGCCATAATTTGTTTGCATTTTGAAGAAATAAAATCAGCAATTTTATTTTTTTGCATCAGCATTTTTCATTGTTTTCTCTAGGGTTACCTGAACTCACATTATATATACTTCAAATTTTAAAATACCAATGAAGGTGAAGCAGAATTTGCCATGAAACTTTTCTGCGATTTTTCCATACCTTAAAACATTAAATTACTTATATAGGTTAAAGAGAATTTGCAATTTTTTCCCGCGGTATAGCGTCCTTTCAAGCCTATACATTCAAACGAAATTGGAAAATCGTCACAAGTTGTGGAAAAATCACGGTGTAGACGTTCATGTTATAAATTCATGTTTTCATTGTAAGAAATTCATAAAAAGTTCTATTTCTTACTTTTCAGACTTAGATTCAAATAAATCGAGAATTTGGAATAAAAGATATTGTTCTTACCTCTACGATAATTATAGTCATCATGAGTCCAGTGGATGGTAAAGCATAATCAAGCACAACAGCATCTAAAGTCACAGCACATGACTGAAAGAGAAGATATAATAATGAAGTAAAAATTATATAACTGCATAAATATTGGAAATTAAACTGAACATACTCACATAACTGCACTCATCACTCTCAATGTAGCTCTCAATCTAAAATCAAACATAATAGAATGTATTTGTCACGTTATGTTAAGTTCTACACAGAGCACTAAGAAATATTTTAACTCTAAAATAACTCTTTACCAACTGTTGATTCCGAAGTCAAAATTTCTGATGGTTTTTCATTGATGGACCAACATAATCTTGGTGGTAACCATTAATAATTCCATCATGAACCATTATATTTTTTTATGATAACCAACATAAATAACCATCACCTCAATGTATGAATTCGGACTGATTTATGATGGTCCAACATAAAAATGGCAACTTGTTTTGATGATTTGTTCGTGTTGAACCATCAGAAATTTATATTACAGTTTCTTAGAAATCAAATGGTGGAACAATCATGAACAACCATCCCAATGTAGGAGTCTGAACTGATTTATGATGGTCCAACATTAAAAAAAAAACTCTTCTGATGGTATATTCTTGAAAACCAACAAGAAATATCATTAAACCATCATGGAAATGTGTAGTTGGAACCATCATGAACCATCTCGAATCATGGATTATTAGTCTATCATAGTCAAACTTCACTTGATGGTTAATCATCATAGAATTAAAGTAGCATTTTCCATCATGGAATGATGAAAGTTTGTTGGCATATAAAAAACATGAACACGTAATGGAAAATGTTGGATGATGACCATTAAATGATGTTTGACCATTCTGAATCGAAATGAAACCTACAGAAACCATCAAAATGTTTTGACGGAAACATCAAGAATTTTGACTTTGGTAAGACTGTCGCACTGGAAGAAATATTTCGTCTGTAAGCTATTTATCCTAGACATAGCGAAAAATGCACCTTTTCAATATCAAACTCCACATTTATGAACATTTACGATTAAATTTTACGAACGAGAAAACATTTTATTGTCTTAAAAATAAAATTTGCAAGGATTTTGAGAATTTTATACTACTTTTAGTTTTATTCATCAATAAATTGTAACACTATATTCTGGGGAGATGATTACAAACAAGTTTGATTCCTACTTTTTCACTTCAAAACAAATGCCTTAAAATTTTACATTTTCAGAATGAAAACACTTGCATTTTTAAAAACGTGAATTACGTCATAATATATGTTTCCGTATTTTAAGTTTTTTTTTTTTGCATTAAAGCAAAACTACCTGCAATTTAAAAAATATATCTGAAAATTAAACCAAATGAAATGTATGAAATTCCACATTTTTATCAAGAAAAAATTGTAAAAATTTCTACTTAGCTCCTAAACTAACATGTTACCTATTTCATTACTGTCTCTAAAAACATTATTTTTAGACGTGCATTGTATGAATTTATAATCAAACATTTTTTCAACCTTTAAGAAAGGCAGGCAATATTTTTTTCCTTTTTTTTCCCGCCCATCTGCCAAGCAAATATATTTCTATTAATACTGTTTAAATATACATTATTTTATACTTTTTATAATCAATATTTTGTTTAGACCATATGCACATAATTATTGTATACATATATATAAATTTTGTGAGTATATATTTAGTTGTAAAATATGTATGTGTAAGCATTAAAATTTGTGTGTATTATGCGTGTAAATATTTGGTAATTCTTAATTTTCTCCATTTTTTTATGTTTACTTTTATAAATTTATTGTGTATTTCCATTCTCAATAAACTGGACAGGAAATATTCTCTATGTTGAATAAATGTTTAATTTAATTATTTTTGAACTTATCTTAATTATTTTCGTACTTTTTCTTACTTTTCATTTATCATTAGGAAACGAATTTAACTTTCATTTTCTTAGTTAAACAATTAAAAATGACCAGGAAATTACGAGACCTTCCGTTTCTGAACGGAATTATTTTATAACCGTCGTTGAACAGCTGACCCAATTTTTGGGTTTACGACTACTAATGTTCAACTCCGTATCCTTGTAATTTTGAACCCAATCCAGAAGACAAGGGAATTCCTGGATCAAGTATTGGGAGAAATTTGCCTTCATGGAGGACTTTTTGATGGAACTAACCAGCATTTGCGTTACATGGAAAGGAAGATCACGAGAACCTCCCACGGTTAGCCTGAAGGCAAGGAGACTAACTCATGATCCGTCTAAAACTGAGGATATTTCACAGCAGCACTGTGATCGGTGCAAGCCGGATGCGGAATTCGTATCGACCAGCCATCGCCGGGATCGAACCCCGGTTCGCCTCATTGGAAGGCGAACGCTCTATCCCCTGAGCCATCGCGGCTCTCTGAACGGAATTAAGCATTCCTGTCCAAATTATTAAATGTTCGAAAATGAAATATCTGAATTTTGAATTCAAATGTGGTAACTAAAACTAGCAATTACGCTGAAATTTTATAGCAAGGGGTCGTTCAAATATTGCGTGCATAGCTAACTGAGAAGGGGTTGTGATTCGCTTAATTTAGCTGAGAAAGGAGAAGGGGTATGAGCGATTTTTACTTGACACATCAAAATCTCCTTTATTTTAAAAATTTCTAAAAAAATCTTAATAGAAAATGTAACAAAAACAGTGACACGTGGAAGAATTTCAAATTTAGAAAAAAATGGAGAAAAAAATTATTCGAAGAATTTCCAACCTCAAAAGTTTGGAGGATGAAAAAAAAAATGAGATTCCTAAAGAATGTTCAACTTAAAATTTTTTAAAATGCGAAACGAAAAATTTTGCTTCATGCAAAATTTCATTTTATGTTTAAAAATGGTTCTAAATTTATGAATGAATATATTATGATTATGAGACTATGAATGCGTAATTAGACCAAATTACGCTAATTAAATCGCATGGTTGGACCTAATCACGAGGTTGTGCTTGGCGGGTTAACGTTACCGCCATTGGGTACTTTAAATTCGTAAGGAAGTAAAGTGATTATGCTTAACCATACAATTTAAATCTGATTTAATTGGATACCAGTAAGCGACGTGTCAAACCTGGTTGACTTCTGAATAAACAAATGCCACGATTTACCTACGATGACGTCACTTGCCAATATTCAATTAGGCTAGGTTTATCATCACGCTGAATCAGTTTTTAAATCAGATTTAATAAGATACCTGTAAACGTCATCACGCGTATGTGGAACCTGATTAGCTTCTGAATCGCGGCATAAGCAAATGCCACGATAACATCGCTTGCTGATATCCAATTGTAAAAAAATGCAATACATTTTTTAAAAAATTCTGCACATACATCGAAACAGAATTTTATAGTTTCCACTCAGTAAAATTGCCTTTTTTAAATTATTGTCTCAATTCTAATTTTACACGGAAAAATGATTGATATATTAAATTTTAAGAAAAAAACTAGCAGAGCTAAAGCAACATTTGTTTGTCGTATTTTATAAGTCAGTAAAATGTATTTCTACACATTTTAATTTAGAGTCTTCCTTATGAGCTGATTACTTACAGTCATTTGAATATAAAAAACGCTTTTATCAATTCATATTTATAATTATTTCCTCCTTCAATGTTACTCGCAAAATTTTTAATGTTTATAAATACTTCACCATATTTTTTATCGAAAAAATAACTCAACTTCTTTATCCTTGATAATCTAATTCAATGCACTCGTTTATCTAGATTTACGACTAATCTATTTTGATGTAAGACACTTACTGTTGTTTTAATGACCATCAGAGTGACTCCAAGAGCGAACTCCATAATTACAATCACCGCTAAAAAGAAGAGATGCTAAAAATACACATAAAATAATTTTGTTAGAATTCTGATTGCATTTAAAAACTTACAATTTCTACAAATTACAATATCAAGCTTCATTTTATGCAACTGTTCCTATTTTTAAAAAAAAAATTAAAATATGAATCTAATTATTAGAATTTGATTATGACTAACCAATTTCAAAATGTGAACATGAAAAAATTTCATGTATGAAATTTATGGCAAAATTCAAATTTCATTTTTAAATTAAAATATTCTTGATTGGGTAATTTTTGTTAAGTTATTTTGATTTATTAATTTTAGTTTAAAAAGGGGTACGATCTAATAAAAAGTATGAAACAAAAATGCGAAATTTTCTAATAAATAACTTTAGTATTATTTATCATCTATATTGGTATATTTCTAAAGGAAGTCAAACAAACATTTAAGTAAAACATTTAAGTTCGTTATTTAAATTTTTATTTATTTTTCAAAAAGTTATAAATGATAGCGAGAAAATGCAGTTTCTGACCATAAAAATAAATTGAACAGTTTTAAAACAAATTACTAAGCAAACAGTTTTAAAACAAATTACTACAATATGAAGCTTAACAGAAAGAATCGAAATGTAATAGAACAATCTTTATCATTACTTAAATTGCTGTCTCTATTGCTGTCTGCATTACTTAAAAATTTCTGTACGAAGCTGTCTATTTCAAATAAGGTTGTTAACAAACAAGGTTGTTTTCAAACAAGGTTTTCTCTACTTCAAACAAATTAAAGGTTGAACCCCTCTTTAATTTTAAAAATGTGCTGAAACTCTGAAAACAAATTATAGCTCAAATGCCAAGTAGTATTTGGCCCCATATACAGATACGACAAACATTGAAATCAAAAATGGGGCATTCACAGTGCAAAATTGAAAAATTCATGTTCTGAGTTTCGCCAGTAAAGAATAAAGTTTAAGCTAGTATGCTTCACATATTTGACATTTTACTGTTAATCCGAAGAAAACCCTCTTTAAAATATCGATTTTGCAGTGTAAATTTATGAAATTAATATTTTAAAAGGTATCTTGTAAAGTTAAACCAAATGTCACTCTAAACATTCTACCACTCTATTCGATCAACATTCATTTCATGTATTTCAGATCATTTCCTATCATGTGGCTGTTGTTTGTATAGTTTTAGGTATTTCACCACAGCCATTTGCATTCTGAGTACTTTAAAATACTATTTGAACTAATATAAGCACTAAATTATTTTAAATGGAAGACAATATTTTTATACAGTTTTTAAAATTCTTAAAATAATGTGGTTACTAATTATAAAGGTGTAAAAATTTTAGAATGTTGACTGTTTATGGCGTCTCAGAGTTGACATCAGAGTGCAATGGGTTAATTATCAAAAAACAAGATTAATCTAAGATTAAAAATAGAATTTAATTAGACAAGTTTATTTCGCCCATCACCATCCGCCTTTGTTCAAAAAAGAAAGGAAATAAAAAATGGCAGTGGAATGATAAATTTAAAATTTAGAACATAAGGAGGAAACCTACTTACCACTGAAATCAACCATAGAATTTCATAACAGGCGCCTGTTATTCCTGTTATACCAGCAACAGAAACAAAAAATCCAGTAGATATAACTGCCTTGAATGCCTTTGCTAGGACAGGAACGGTCATCAATAATGACTCAACAGTCCATTTCATCTTTAACCCCAATATAAAAATGGCTGAGCCCACAAACTGTAAATAAATATTCCTTTGAAAACTCTGAGCTTAAGTTTAAATAAGAATACAAGCAACATATTAATTTGACACAAAATGTTAAATGAACCCCCGAAACTAGTTTAATGGTATTCAATGTTTCAGGTACTAAGAGGTCCATTTTCGAATTTCTCGAATGTGATATTAAATACTGTGTTACGTTTCAAAAATTTTACAAGTTTCTAAAAAGTAATTTATAAATTCGTCAGATTTATTAAAAAAATTAAATCATTTCTTCAATGCTACCTGTGCTAGTATAGACTGATAAATCTATACCTGTTATATCAATCGCCAGATCTAGACCTGTAATAACATCAATCGAAAGGCCTAGACTAGTAATAACATCAATCAACAGATCTAAACTAGTAATAAGATCAATCGACAGATCTAGACTAGTAATAACATCAATCGACATTTTTATTTGTACAGCATAAGTGATTTATATTACATCGCAAAAATACAATCTTTTTTAAATTTGATAAAAGTAAACATTTTAGCTGCTCTTTTAGGTTTCACACTTCTTAAAATAATATTTGATTTTCAAGAGCAATTTTAAAGAAAACTGATCAAACTTGGGAAAACATTACTATGTAATACAAAAATATAACGGAAAACTAATAAATGAATAAACAAAATATATTTAAAAAGTTTTCAAGTTTTAGAAATATTGTTACTAAAAGAAATTAAGAATCATTTTTAATTTTTTTTCTTTTTTTAAATATGAATAAAAACATTCAAATATTATTACACAAACCTATTGCAATAAATCAAATTCAAATATTTAATGTTCTGCAAAAAGAATTGGACACTATGCATCTCTATTCTGCACGAATTTCCCTTGTAAATCACTGTGATACTGTGTTTTTTATATCTTAAGAAATTATGAAGAAAATGTAATCGTAAACTTAAAGATTTATGCACATGTTAAACAGTATAAAAATATATTCGATAAATGTTTCACAAAAAGCAATGCATCCATTTCAATTCTAACTCAAAACTCTCATCTATATGAAGCAGTCTATAAAACTAACTTCTTTATGAATAAAAACTTTGATAGCTTAATAGATGTATATTACGCTTTAAAATTATAATTATATGCAATCATATTACCAAAAGAGCGACATTGCAACACACTAGAAAAGCCTTGTAGCCTTTAGGAGAGAAAGAGCAAGACATCGTTTCTCTTTGGGACTTGTTGAAATCTTATACAACCAACTATAGTTAGGAAATTATGAGCAGAGCAATATCTGCAAATGTCATTTTCAAAACGACTATCAAACAGCTAGAACAAGATTTCGATCGCCTATTTATATTTTGATTAGTTTGGAAACGTTTCCGACTACTTATTTCATAGAAGAACAATGGCAACTAGATTAATTAAATTGGGGACACCGCTGGCGATAGGTATTGTCCTACCGTTAAATGCTCCGGAGCATGGAAATATCGGGTTCGATTCCCGAGGTAACACAGGGACATCTTTTCTTTCTTTGTTCCATAGATTAATATTTCTTAGTTCCATGGGTGCTACGGGTATATGACCCTCTCAATAATAAGAAATCTCAAAAAGTCTACCACTTCAAAATGATTCAGACAAAAAAGTCATGAATCATCGTCGATTTAAATTCAGCTTAGTTAAAACAATATAAGAAATTTAAGTATAAATAATTATTTTGCGGATATTTAGCAAATGAAAAAAGACTTTTGAGATTTTTTTTTCATCAGAGAAATTTTAAAAACTATTGTAGCTGCTTATTTTAATTATGTCTTCCTCAAAAGCTGGATGCCAGACTTGCCAACATGAAGTTTCGTAAGCTCCGCAATCGTTTTTTAAGTTGAAAATAGCTTATAAACTGCTCTATCAAACCAGTAAGTAGTTTTAGAATGAATTAATAAAAATAATTATTCTGGAAAACATCCCTGAGTATGATTTGAAAGTATGCCATCACAATTTTGATCCTCCGCTAACCATTTAGGTAGCCCGATGACCTGCGCCAAATTCGAGCACTTAATGGTAGAACAATTTAACGAAAACCGATACTATACACCCTCGGTACCTTCGCATATTTATCAAAATGGTCACCCACCCTCTCACTGACCACTTCCAAAGATACTTGTCTTCGGTGATCAATTAGGAACCGTGTCTTATGATCAGTTAGTTGAATGTGCAACAATTGACTATTGACGAGTGACTAAAGTTATTTACTTTCCTGACCGACCAGTCTTGTCAATTCCAAATCTTGCCATCTTGTTCAAATGATCTGTAGTGGGGCCGGGATAGCCTGGTCGGTAGGGCGCTGGGCCCATATCCAAGAGGTCGTGGGTTCGATCCTCGCCGGCCGAAGACTCCGCGTGTAGTAAATGGTGACTGATGCACGTTAAATCTGTCGAGTCTCAAAGTCCTCCATGTTCCCACAACAAATCAATACGTCTGGGGGTACTGATCCAGGAGTTTCCTTGTCTTCTGGATTGGTTCAAAATTACAAGGCTACGGAGTTGAACGTAAGTAGTCGTAAACCCATGAAATTAGGTCGGCTGTTCAACGACGGTTATAAAATAAAATAAAATGATCTGTAGTGTTAAGGTAGCAGGTTCGAATTTTGAAGCCTTGGATGCATCTTTGTGATGTTCTTCTCTAATTTATATTATCCTTACTTCGACTTGACAGGGGCTTCTGAAGTCTTTCTATTGAGCATACATGTCTGCATGTGTAACAATAAAAAAATAAATCTATCGCTTTGAAAGGTGGTGATATGACGTTTGATTGCCACTGTAGCCTTAGATGTATCTTTTTTTTTCTATACTTTTCCTGGTGTCTTTCTGCAATTTGTGCTATATTTTTAGGGACCGGGATAGCTTGGTGTGTAACGCGTTGGGCCCATGTGAGAAGTTCGTGAATTCGATCCCCACCGACCGAAAACTGTCCGTGTACAAAATAGTGACTGGTGTACGCTAAATCCGCTGGAGATACCTTGTCGTCCAAGTTCCCATAATCAATACCTCTGAGGATACTGAATAAGAGATTGATCGTACTCAGGTTCAGGTCAAAATTACGATCAGCGGTGTATGCTGTAGTAGTTCATTTACGTCGCAATAGAGCTGCACAATGATATTGTGCAGCTCTAGTGCGGTATTGGTGACGGTCTGACTTCCCTGAGGATGATCCGAAGACACGCCATCACAATTTTGATCCTCTGCAGAGGGGATGGCACCCCCGCTTCGGTATCCCGACGACCCGTACGCGAAGAAAACAGTTTAACGAGGACCAATACCATCCACCCTCGGTCCTTACGCAGACTAATCCAAGTGGTCACCTACCCGCACACTGACCGCAAACAATGATGCTTGTCTTCGGTAATCTGCTGGCTACCGTGATGTGTGAATGTGATGGTCTCCTTGTGAAACGGGATGTGAAGTATGAATGTTGTTTCTGGGTCATCCATAGGGGTGTTTCCCAGACTGTCGCCAATAGCCCATTGTGCAGCTGTAATGTGACGTAGATAAAAGTATCGTACCGTAGCTGTTATTCGCCATTGCAACACTGAATATGCCATCTGGGAAGAAGACCAGCTCCATGTCTCGACCCTTCCCTGTCCTCCTCATCTCAGTAGTATGGGAATGTACTACGATATTTTACCCTTTCTTAATATTTTTTATACTTAATTGTGAAAAAAAAAAATTTAAATTTCCACGATGCTTTCTTTAAAACTATGTTCAATGTAGTTTTCAGTTCCATATTGTTTCCTAAATTAAAATTTTATAATCCATTAAAAGATCAAGACAGAAACTTCTTTCTATGAATTTTCCACACGCGAATGGTGAAAGCAAGTGAAATGTTGCCATAGGTAGGTCCCGCAGTGGACTGATCGTTAAGACACGGTTCCCAGCAGATCACCGAAGTCAAGCATCACTGGCTACAAGTGTGCGGGTGGGTGACCACTTGGATCAGTCTGCGTAGGAACCGAGGGTGTGCAGTATTGGTCCTCGTTAAACCGTTCTACCGTAAAGTGCTCGACTTCGCGTGCAGATCGTCGGGCTACCGAAGCGGGGGTGCCATACCCTCTGCAGAGGATCAAAATTGTGATGGCATGTCTTCGGATCATCCTCAGGGATGTTTCCCAGACCGTCGCCAATAGCCCATTGTGCAGCTCTAGTGCGACGTAAATGAACACAACAGTTGCCATAGGTAGAGAGTTCTGCTCTACGCCACTTGTAGTCCATTTCGATCGCGATATCTTTTATTTATTTGGCTGGAGTTTAGTTGTCGCTCAAGGTCAAACATGCTGGTCCGCAAATTGATAAATAAGTCATTAAGAGTTAAGTTTCTGGAATACAGCAGAAATTATCACCAGTTTTAGTTCCAAAGCCGCAAATGAAGAGTTGACAGAATGTAAATAACAAGCTTCTTACATCCGGAAGAAATTCAGAAAACTTCCAGAGTATCCCTCCGCGCTTAAGTTATGTTTACGAGACGATATATGAGCAGGTTTGATATTCTAATAAGTTTCATTATTGTAATTTGTGTTTAAATTTACCCGTAATTTTACAAGTCAAAAGAGTTTTCTGCATTTTATAAATTCAAAAAGGTCGTCAGTTGTAAATAAATTTTAGAAAATAAATATCAGAACATAAATAAAACAAAAGGTTTGCCTTGTTTGTGTGTTTCAGTAAAATATCACCATTTGTTATTTTATGGGTAGAATCATAGCCTGCTTTGACTCTTTCGACTTCGTTTGCTACGTTGAAAGTTAAATCGAAAGAAATTTAGTTATACAGTAAAAACCACAAGTATATTATAATATTGGGTGGGCCTCTTTTTGAAACTTATGCGTAAAAATAAAGTAGTAGCCCGGAAGTCTTACTTCAAATTTAAACCCCTAGCTCCATTTGTGCTTAGCAAGCCATCAAGGTTGAAACAGATCCGTAACTATTACGGGTTCAAGCTCAGTTTTGACCATAGCATATAAGCGATTCAATGGCCAACTTTGTGTAAAATAGGTAAATTGAAAAGATTAAGGGAGGAAAAACTAATAACCCTGACTACAACAGAGAAAGTGCCAGGCTTGGTTCCCAAAACTAATGAAAAATGTCTAAGCTTTAAAATCAGAAGAAACAGTCACTAGGGTACCTCGTATTAATCTTGAAATATTTGAACTAGTAATATCGTTAGAAAGACAATCTCTCAGCGCTTTTGAGAGGAAGATAGCAGGTTCGATTCTCAACGGAATTAGGAGGCTTTTATTTTATATTCGTGACTTTGTAGCATCCGCCGTCATATGCATTGTCTTAATCATTACTTAAATTGCTACGTACGAAGCTGTCTCTATTTCAAACAAGTACTTGTATCGTTAAAAGTTGAGTTTAATTTTAACAATGTGCTGAAACTGAAAACAAAAGAGCTCGAATGCCAAGTAGTATGCCCCATATACAGGCATGCCACACATTGTAATCAAAAGCTTCACGTATGGGCAAATCTCAGGAGGAATCATTAACCTATATGTCTTCAAACTTTTCTTATAAATATATAACATAATAAGCGAAAATTAATTCTAGTAAAATTACAGAAATAACTATGCATTACTAACTTTAAGATACGTACAGTAATGAGCGCGAGTAACTTGCTTTTGGCTTTCATTTCTTACTTCAATCCTACATTTGACAACTTTTCATGAGTGTCGCTTAGAGTGTTTAACATACTTTTTTTTTTTTTTTCATTGTGTATTCTGTTTAAAAAAAAAACTGAAAATCACTAAAAACATAATTTAGTAGCTCAGCTGTACTATCATATTTTCTTTAATGATATTTTTCGTGAATATTGACGTTTGCAGAATTGGATTGTATACCTTTTTTCCCCTTCAATTTTCGATGGTTACGGTTTGACGTTTATAAGAAAAGTTTGAAGACATATAGGTTAATGATTCCAGAGATTCGCCCATATACGACTACACTTCACATATGAGACATTTTACTGTTATTCATTCCACTCGGAAGAAAATATTCATGTCTTTAAAATACTGATTTTATGGTTGTATATTTATAAAATTAATATTTTAAAAGGTATCATATAAAGTAAATCCGAATTTCATTCCATTCGATCAACAAAGTCGCTTTATGAAATCTATGGCTCCAAGAGAGTATCTGACCAAATTTTAAAAATTGATAGTTGACGAATACATGTATGCAAAAGAAAGTTTCGGGGTGAAAATTCCAAGAAATTTTATAAACATCTTTTGTAACGATAAAGATTTAGTGAAGTTTCATTTATTATTTCAACATTCAAATGGCACATTTTCATTAGAATTTACGTCACCAGAGCGAAGTTTATGGCACCATTTTGAAGATTGACATACGTATAAAATATTTATAATATATCCTTAAAAAAAAGATTCTTCATCGTAAATTTGAGCCATTAATTTTTTAAATGTGTCTTGTAACGTTAAAAATTTGGCAAAGTTTCATTCCATTTTTTCAACATCCTACTTTACTATGACCTAAATGTTTATTATGGCCTATAAGTTTAACTGGGAAAAATTGTGAAATCAATTTTCTAACTTGACAACTTCAGTAACCCTCTATACATAATTTGTTAACAAAATATTCTGCTTTATTTTGTTTCACTGACTCCAGTAACTTTTGTTATTTATATATTTTATGTTACAAGTCAAAAACTAAATTATTTTATTCTGAACTGATTTTAATGAGACTTTATTCAGTTCAGTTAATACTTTGTGATAGAAACATTTCAAACTAATTATTTATTCCACACATATAATTTAAAAAAAGTTTAATTCGAGTTTAAAATTTCAAAAATTTATAATTTAGAATTTTTTTCCAAGGACTACTCGGACGATTTTGTTAAATCATCTCATTTGCAACAGGTTTAGACTTTTTGGCTATGAAAAAAATTCAGACACTGGGACCTATTTCATCATAGTAGGAGCCCTGATCATTACTACAAACTATGTTTACCATAAAATTATCTTTGAATAAACAAGTTTCTTAATCCTGCGTAGAGTTTCCAATCAATTCAAGAAGTTTTAAAACTATGGAAATCGCAAAAATAGAAATTAACTTTATTGCTGTTGTAACATATTGCTTGTCATTTGGTCAATATTAGTTTATTACATAACAGAACGATATGTTTGATTTAAAGTAGTACAAAGTTAGTGAAAATTTTATGACTCCACACCCAAAACCTTTTTTCAGTACTTGAGTTCATCTCATCTCCAGCGTACATAGCTGGTTCCAAGATACAAAATTTTAAGATATATTTTCAAAACGCATGAAATTTCAGTATCAGTGCAAATGTGACTTAAATTATGACAAGTTGGCAGCTCTGCATATAATATAGTTTTTTTCTCGACGGGATTTGAAATTGGGTTCTTAAAATAGAGGGTATGCGCAATCTGGAAAGTATGGTCCAAATAATTTTCAGGAAAGCGTTCCAAAAGTTTGCACCCCTATATGTTAATTTTACTAGCTGCGTATTTTAGCAGATTAAGTAATGAAATTTGTTTACCACCCAAAGAACAATAATTGAAAAATTTTTGATTTGCAAGGTGAACAATTTTTACATCATTAATGTAATTTTACGCGGCAAAATATAAGTTAAAGCAAAACCAGCTCAACAGTTCCCGAGAAATCGAAATTTTAAAAAAATCATATTTACATTTCTCAGGAACTATTCAAAACAAATTTTTTGACTATTCTTAAGTAAAATATTTACTTACAAGTTATATTTAGCATGGAATTATCATTCCATAAACTATTTTAATTAGCATAAAATCTTCTCGAGATACAGCGAAATAGGCAGAAAGTAAAATTAAGGTGATCTAACTTTTTAACCGCTTTCCTGACCTAAATATTAGGATATTTCCGGGGTCAGAAATATTAATCCGTCGAAATGAAAAAAGTTTTTGTGTCCGATTTTGTAACTCATAATATAGTCTGCACTAATTAATTAGCACATTTGAAGTCACCCATTGGACCCAACGCGATCTGTTACGTATTTTGCGTACTGAACTACTAAAAAGTCTCTTCTTCAAGAATGAAATTTTAGAACAAATCGTAACTCTTCTATTAATATTGTTTCCAAGTAGGTATCTCACAAGCTTCCAGGAATTCCTAAAGCCGACAGCACAATGCATATATAGGCGAACATCACTAACTTAACCATTTGATAATAGTATATGGCTTCACAAAACTGATTAATTTAAAGTTACCAAGATATATTTTCCTAACACTCTTTATGTTATTTGAGAAAACGTTTATAAGCTTGAAAAAAAAACCCTTGCTTTTCCAAAATGCTCTTTGAATTTAAAACCTAAGAAAATTTTTTACATGTAAAAAAAAATATAATTGGTAACGTTGATCCCTTCATAGAGAGTTATTGCTAATTGATAAAATTCTATAAATTTGAAGGAAAAAAGTTACCTAGTAATTTTTAGATTTTACGCATAAAATAAATTCATGCAAGCCAATTTGATTGGTTTAATATGACTTGGCACAGCAAAAAAAAAAATCATTAATGTTTCATGGTTTTTAATGCTTCGACAAGACTAAAAATTACAGCAATTGAAATGTGATCTTTTTACAAAATCTTAAAATTTACTCCCAACATGTTTTCAAATGTGATATTTTTTTAATCATGATACATAAATTTTATCTTCTTCTTTACATTAAATCAAGGGAAAGAATACTGTAATACTCCAGTTTCAAAATTTTTTAAACATTCATTGTTTTATTTTTCAAATTATTGGATTGCATACTTTACATTTTAATTTCCTGAAGGAAAAAAAAATTATTTCAGTCTGATTTTCTTAGATGCTGTTGTCACTTCAAAATAGCTTCTCAGACGAGATGCTTATGATTGATTTATGTAGAATTAACACAACATCGATCCTCTACATTTCTTCTTAATTTATATTAAGATAATCAAATTTACTACTTGAGCTTAGTTGGTACAAACTGCTAGCTATAGTAAGTAGCTTCACTCTACTTACATTAAATGATTTCATAGGGACTACATGGACATAGGACTGCGAACAAAATCTAATTAAATTTTTTTCTTTAAATATTAATAACATTAACTTTTTAAATCTCGCAGACTTGGGTAAGATTTTACAGAGTTCCATTATAAAATGTACATTAATAAAAAGAACACAAATAACAAAAATAAAATAACCCTTTGCAACACATAAAACCTTTAAATGATTTGAATCTTTATGGTGTGCAATAAATCATGATAACATTAATGGAATGGCAAGTTTTACCTCAGAGAAATAATAAAATAAGACTAATAACAAATAAGAATTCTTAGGTAGTAAAAATTTTCCTAAACAAAAAACTGAGGAAGAAGTCAAAAAAGATCCAATATATTATTTACAAAACAAAAATTCCATCTATTATATACAGCACTATGTCAAATGGTTTGATATCACCAAGTTTACAGAGAGGTTGCTCTCGTAAAATTTGGTGCAGAAACTTGATATTCTCAAAACAAGGAAAAACAAATATGTTTGTGAATGAAGTAACATTGCTATAATCAATAAATCTGTAATATATGTAACCCTTACATGCAGAAAAAGAAAGCGACACTAATGAAGAAAGGAAACATGGAAGTAATTTACACCAGCTTTAATGGCATATAAAAAAAACAAAAACACTTTTTTTTCATTTACACATTCATTGCTGTTTTTTCCGAAAAGAGCAGCCTTCTGTTAGTCTTGCCCTTCCTCCAGTTGGTTGACAGAGGACAGTTGAACATCCGACACATAATACTACGGTCTGCGCATGACTGAAAACAGTAGTGATCTTGTAACAACCAGGACATTTGACATCCATGAAAAACGAATTAGGGTGCTGCACTAAGCGTTTTAGTTTACATTTCCTCCTCTCCTCATCAGGACTGGGATGTAATAGATCTTTAGCTAAAGGCATTGCTAGCTACAAGAGAAAAAAACAAACATTAGAAAACATTTTTAAAAGAATGTTAATATGCATGAAAGTACAAGAATATGAAACACAGCTAAATTAAAGTAATCAAATGTTCAGTGTCTGAAAAATTAATAATTTCCAGACTTGCCACCAACAGACAGAAAACCTTAATCAGGTAAAAAATTAACCTTAATATATATATACATACATATATATATAGCAATAACTTCATAGAGGTTGGACAAAATTATGGAAACACTTAGAATTATTTTCTAACACCAGAAAAGTTTAGATGAGATTTCTTTTGCATATCAATGAAGTTTCCCCGGGGCAGAATTTTTTCTGCCTTTCTGCTACAAAACTCTTGCACTAGTATCTTTCTGCAGGATACTTTCAATAATAAGATATGTTACCAGGTAACAAAAATGCTGTATTTACAAAATAGATTTTTTAACTGAATATGCAATATTTTTTTGATTCTAATATTTTAGGCTATATTCTCGTTTTTTGTTGGGGGAAGGAAAACACTAATTATTTTCTTTATTGCATTTTGCAAATCATTATCACATTAAAAAAATAAAATATCATGAATTTTGTTGCAGTAATTACTGAAAAGCAGATCAACAAATCAGACTCTTCAGAAAGGGGTTACTCAAATGTATGTTTTGCGTCAAGATTTGATTGTTGTAATAAATATCCTATAAAAAATATCAGGTTTGAAAAGCCATGTGGAAATCAAATTGCCACACAAAAAAAGATAAAATCATTGCCTTAAAAAGTAAACGATCAAATGAGGAATTCGAATTACCCATATCGCCTGAATTATATCGGAATATCTAAAAGCCACGTGAAAGTCAATGTCAATAACTACCGAAATTCTAATCAAACTGTATTAACGATATCTGAATAAATTGAGAGCATCAAAAAGTGATTATTTAAAAGGGCAACTCAAATTTTGTGTATAAATTTCTACAGCAAAAGAAAACTCTTTCTGCAAGAACTGTAGAGTTCTGTGAAAATGTCGCAGTGATTCTGCCACAGGGTGAAGTTTAAAGCTGGTTTCAGGGACTAGCAATAACTTCACACAATTTTACAAACCTAGCTTAAATATCTATTAAGATATAAAAAAAAAAAATTCTTTTAACTTTATGTTTTCTTACTATAACTGTCTAAAACAACATTTTTAGAGCTATCTTTAATTAACAAAAATAAAAAATAAAAAATTTTAAATTTTTCAAGCCATAAACAATTTTTTCATACATTGCAGATGTACAACACCAAATTTTATTCTTCATAATTTTGTGTTGAATTGTATTTGGTGACCTAAGAAAAAAGTTCTATAAGAAAATCTTGAAAATGTGTCTTAATTTTTTATGAATTTTAAGAACCTTTCTTTATTTTTAAAGAAAGCTCTAACATACATGGGGTTATCAAATTTCATTTTGTATATTACAAAACTTCATAACAAATGACAAGAACCGACAGCACAAAAAAATTATAAGGAAAGAAAACATGCGAATTAACAAAATTTAACACGGAATGACGCTATATAATTCTGATGTCCTTTTGAATACATCTCTTACGATTCACAGCCTTCTTTCCAAAAATTCAAAAAACCACTTTTGGAATTGCTAGAAACTGGCACAACAAGCATTACCAAATGTGATCAAATCTAAAATTCGGCAAAACAAACCGTGTACTACCAAAATATTAGCTAATGATTTTTCCTAACGAAATTTTTCTCCCCTAGATCATAACATGAATTTTTCTTAACGAACTTTGTATTTTTATTCGATTACCATCATTTTTCCTTAGATATTTTACATAGGGTAACCCGGGATATTTCACAATCACTCTGTTTCTGGGGGTAAATAATGATCACCTAAGTTTTAATTCCAAAAAAAAAAAATTTTCTTTTAAATTTGATACATGGACAAGAATGCTTGAATACTTTACTAAAGTACAACTACATTTAGTTAATAATAGTTTTACTCTAACAAAATAAGTATCTTTTAAACTGCTACTGTATTTTCCATTTCAAAGATGGGTTTCAAAATGTGCACATTTCTACAATCATAAATATTTTGAGTTATTTTATTTTTCTTTGATATAAAAATAGCATGAGCTTTTGTTTAATTGTTTCACATCTACTGTTAACATTGTTTTTGATTATAGGAAACTATATCAAATGTTGCCCCATATTTATTAAGTGGAACAAATATAAAATATATTTGAACTGTAATCACAAAATTTGTTTTTAACTCTATACAAGACAAAATGTGTTCTGATTTGCACCAGTTCTGTTTGTCTTACCTTCCCTCAATCTTAATTTTATGTGTGTACATTGTTAGAATAACTTTTAAGTTTATAAATTAACCTAATATAAATAAGGTGAGAAATTATAAGCCTAAAAAGGATACTAAGCTTCTAGAAAGCAAAATCAGTGAATTTCTTTTAATGATTGAAAATGAAAATTACACTCTCACTTAATGAAGTTAAAAAGTCCAGCAAAAGTAACCCATGTGGGAACTCTTTCTTATATTCCAGCAGAACATGAGAATGAGTTGGCTGCTTGCCTAAAATGTATGGCACATTGGAAAAATTAAAGTGTTAATCTTTATTCTTGCTTTTAAATAAATAGTTTTATTAGCTGCTTAAACATATTTTTGGTTTATTTGTTTGATCTTGATGTCTTATTTGTTAATTACAATTGTGTAATTATTTTTAAACAGCTCCTTTACTATAAAAACTGATGATCAGTAATTACCCCAGAAGCAGGGTTGGCAGGTTTTTGACATGTGACAGTTTAAACCATGGTTTAAACCAGGGTTGGAGTTTTTGCCGGCAAAAAGGGGTTTTTGCCAGGACAGTGGCAAAAACCTGGTAAAAACCGGCAAAAACTGGTAAAAACCGGCAAAAACCAAATTATCTAAATTGCTGATTAAATATTATTACAAAATACTTGAAACAAATTTAAATCAATCATAAGGAGGTAATTGTTCTC